AAGGCCTCTTCATTGTTCGATCCGCCATTTGCAACCTCATGGATGTGGGTCTTGGTTGACCAATTCCCAAAGTTTTGAACACTGAATAGGGCATCAAGTTGATACTTGCCCCGAGATCACATAATGATTTGGCAAAATCGGCGCTCCCAATAGTGCAAGGGATTGTGAAAGCGCCCGTATCTTCCAACTTTGGAGCAATTGAGTGCACAATAGCACTTAATTGATGAGTCATCTTAATGGTCTCACAATTCATTGAACCACATTGCTTGGGATTTCATCTTCTTGAACCACAACATCTTCATCCACAATCCTTCTTTGAATTCAGGTGGTAGCATCTCCACCTTTTCCACTTCTAGTAGTCACGGCCATATTATTCCCACCCTTTGGGTTCACCACCCGTATCACTAGGTAGTGCCCCTTTAGGACGAGTGTTCAACGCTTGTGAGATTCAGCCTAATTGAACCTCCAAATTTTGAATAGAAGTGTTGTGCGAGGCTAATTGAGCATCGAAGTCGGCATTCTTCTCCATCATCTGTTTAAACATGTTTTCAATTCTACCCATCTCATTGGAAGAAGAGCTAGGGACTTGAGAAGGATAGGGAGGTGGATTGCTCGGTTTTTGGAACATCGGGGGCCTTTGAAAACCCGACCCCCAATTGTTGTTGTTGTTCCACCCTGCTTGGTTATTTCCACCCCAATTGCCTTGATTACTCCAATTGCCTTGATAGTTCCAATTGCCTTGATTAGGATTTCCACCACTCCAATTGCCTTGGTGGTTTTGGCTGTTCCAATTACCTTGGTTCCCTTTGTGACCTCCATTGTTGTTGATTTTGCCCTTGAGCATTGTTTCTTTGACCTTGATAATTGTTGACATATTGAACTTTTTCGTCTTGCTCATTGAATGAATCAACTTGATGTATCATAACCACTATCATCTTGCATAAATTGTTCCGGACGACTTTGCATTTGTTGACCTTGTTGGCGTCTTTTGTTTACCATCATATTCACACCTTCCATTGCATGCACTTGTTTCGACCCTTGAACTTGTTGAAGATGAGCTTTGGCTAATTGGTTCATGGTAGTTGTCAACTCGGCAATAGCTTGCCCATGATCATGTAGCTTCTTGTGTAGGTGAATAACATTAGGGTCACCTTGCGGAACATTGGCTCTACTTTGCCACGCCGAAGAGGTATCCGCCATCTCATCAAGAATTTCACAAGCTTCGGGATATGGCGTGTTCATGAAGTTCCTTCCGGTGAGTTCATTAACCACACATTGATTAGTTGTGTTGATCTCCTTGTAGAAGGTCTGTTGGATCGTGGCCTCAGTCATATCGTTGTTCGGGCACTCCTTAACCATGGTACGATATCTTTCCCAAATCTCGTGCAATGGCTCATTGGTTTCTTGCTTGAAAGCAAGAATTTCATCCCGAAGCGTTGCCATATGTCCCGGAGAGAAGAATTTGGAAATGAACCGCTCTTCCAACTCATCCCAAGTGTGGATGGAATGATTGGGCAACCTCTCTAACCAGTCCAATGCTTTTCCCGATAGAGAGAAGGGAAATAGCCTCAACCTCAGCGCGTCCTCAGAAACATTTGTTTGCTTGCTCCCCCAACAACTATCGACGAACCCCTTGAGATGCTTGTAAGCATTTTGACTTGGAGACCGGTAAAGAATCCCCGTTGCTCAAGTAGTGTAAGCATCGCGTTGGTGATTGGAATTTGCCCGCCCTAATGCGGGGCGGGACTATAACACTTGCATAACCCTCGTTTGGTAATTGTCGGTGGGTTGCCGCCCTTGGTGGAGGTGGGGGAGGGGCGGGCACTTTATCGTGAGGCAGGCGGCCTCGTCTATTAGCTTGAGGTTCAAGAGGAACCTCATCCTTGGCATCATCGTTCACTTCCTCCCCCAATGGCACATTTTCGATGGGCTCGTTGAGAGCCATATTCGTACCTAAACTCAATTCAAGCACAAAATTAGTAACTCGGACGGAAAGAAAGACAAAACACACAAAAACCTATATATATAGCTAAATCCGTTTAACTCCCCGGCAATGGCGCCAAAAATTTGATGTCGCCCAAACTCACACCAAGATTATAGGCAGTGAGGCGGTCGAAGCAATAATAAATCCCAATACAGGTCGGGGTCGATTCCTCAGGGAGTTAGATATGGGATTGGGTATATAACTAGAGTAAATGTATGACATGCCTTAGATTGCACTTCCACATATTCTTCGGTTGTTTCTATTTCTACTTTTAGCTAATGATTGCAAATAATAAACTAGAAGACAATGTTTTTGGTTTTGGTTATTTTTCAAATAGTAAAGGATCTAGGGTCGTGACTTCCACCTAGGTGGCTACCTAACGGGATGTAAACTATAGGGCTAGTTTGATTAATCGAGATTGTAATATAACAATCACACGCAATTACTCACTCTATACCTCCCAGTAGTTTGAATGACTTTGCCCAATTTGGCTTTCTCAAGCCCAAATGGGTATTGCACAAATCAAGTGATATATGCTCAAGTCGGGTCTTACTATCTCTAGATTTGACCCTTTAATTGAGGCTATCAATTTCTTGAGTTCACCCCAATTCCTTGTTAGCCAAGTTTTCCTAAACCTAGTATCTGTTTCTCAAGCAAAGACTAGGTCAAATAGGCATGAATCAATATTTGCAACTATTAATTCTAGAATTTAAGCATAAACAAGGCTAAATATCACTAACTCAATCACAAACAAGCCCTAAAATTAAATACTCATTAAGTACCCATACTAGGGTTGAGCCACAACCCTAGCTAAAGATTTAGCTACTCATGACAAATAAAGAAATACAAGAAGAAATTAAGATAGAATGCATAATAATCGATAAAACAAAGAAAATCTAATGTTTAGAAGTTAATCCAGTACAAAATTACTCAAAGAAGTAAAGAAAACGGTAGGTGCACCTCTGCAAAACTAAACTTAATCTAAAAATGACAAAAAATTCTATTTATACTAAGCAAGAAATATCTGACAAAAATGCCCCTGCGAAGGTTGTGCGGCCGCATAATTTTGGTGCGGTCCGCACAATGGGCTTCTGTGGCCGCACAATTATCGTGCGGTCCACAGTCTCGGGAATTTGGGCTTGGAACTTCAGGCTTCTGTGGTCCGCATAAAAGTGGGTGCGGCCACTCTTAGGATTATGCGGCCGCACAAAAGTGATGCGGTCCGCACTCCTTTACTTTCCAGCTCTCTGAATCTTCAACCCCTGCGGACCGCATAATAATGGATGCGGCCGCACTTGATCTCCTGCGGTCGCACAATTTCAGTGCGGTCCGCACTCCCTGAGCTGGACAAAACACTACTCTCTGAATCTCCCTTCTGCGGCCGCACTAGAATTGTGCGGTCTACACTGCAAGCCTTTTTGCCCGGTTTTGGTTCTTGTTCACTTTTTACTCCTTTATGAGTTAATTTTGACTTTTTTGGCTCGTTTCCCAATATTCCTGCAAGTAAGCACATTTTGTTAGTTTCCGGGAATACCTTTAAGCATTTTGAGCTAAAATGCAAGTAAAAGAGAGCAAATAAGCGGTCAAAATCCCTATTTATCACTCATGTTGTCCATACTCTATTACTGCCAGAATACCGCAGTGAGATCCCACTAAATCCTCCATAAGCTCGTGAAACTCAAGCCATCCATCACCTCAAATCATCTGCAAATCTCGCATTCGCCCTTGTAACTGTCAAGCCATCTCTCATAAGTGATCCGAACTCAAATTGCAACTCAATACTTTGCTTGGAGTCCGTCCTCTTAATAATAGATATATTCAAACACGTCCTATCATATGCAGGAGCGGCTCAATTATAGTATTGGCCTAAAGCCATAATTATTTACAAGGCCTTAAATCTTTTCTAATAAAATTTCATATATATATTTTTTTTGATTTTTTTTTTTGCTTTTTTCGCTGAAATTTTTTAAAATATGATTAATTTTTGTCTACTAATCCTTTTTCATTTGATAGTAAGGTTAATCCTTTTATTTTTTTCTTTTTGAATTCATTATCATTTAACTCAAACAGACAATGACTCATTCATCAAAACAACACTCTTTTTGAGGCGTATGTGATTCAATTTTCTTGTTGACATATTTAAATTCTACTTTAAGTTATAAGAAAAAGCTAATATATATCTATGAATTAAACATACACAAAATAAAAAATATCATGTTAAAAAAGTCACCATGGTATTCAAATATGATTCTAGAAGTTGATATCTTGATATCAAAATAAATCAATTTTACTTTGTTTACTTTGATGTTTGATTTTTTTTTTTTTTTGAATGAAATGAACTTGCAATTCAAGTTAGTTAATGTGCTTTAATTTTTCTGTTTGGCAGAATATGTAGCGCATACGAAAAAAGTAGAGAGAAAAGCATAAGTATAAAGAGAAATTCGGAAAATATGACTTTAAAAACGAAAACAAAATATAATATTTCCGTAGCTCTTTTTATAAGTTGTCCTTTCTGGCCACTTCTTTCCTTGTGATGAAAAATTTGTACTCTTTTCATTGCCAAATTCAATATTTTTTGATTAAAAGATTAAGGTAAAAATTAATTACTACTACTAATTTTTGGGGTGTGGTCTGATTCTTTTCCATATTTTTAACACGTGAAGTAGATGATACTAAGACTTAAATTGAGCACTGTTGCCTAATATCATACTATATTGAAGTGTGTCATCATTTCATAAATATAGTTTATACTTAATTATATCTTCAATAATTACTACTATTTTTATTATTATGATTTAATTTTTTAATATATTTTATGTTATTATTATTTAAATATATTTTTATACTTAATTATATCTTCAATTATTATTATTATTATTTTATAAATATTTCATACATCTTAAATATTTAAAAACATACTAAAGCAAAAAAGTGATCAGGAATGGAGACTTTCTATAAGCTGCTAGATAAACATTAGTAAGAAATTGAGGGACTTTTAAGGCGGGAACTTATTGTATACCCCGCATGCATCTTCTTTGGAAACAAATAACAAACCAACCCGCCATTTCTAAAACCCGTCTAGGGTTTCAAAATTTAACTATTCTTCTCACCAATCCAATTGAAATTCAAATTCAATATTCAGAAGCGAACCAAGAACAATTACCCCATTTTTTTTTGGAGTCACCGTAATGGGGAATAAGATCGCAGAGGAGCTCGTTTCAACGGTACGGTCCATTGTTGGCGACGAATATACAGAGATGGACATAATTAGAGCACTTCACATGGCCAAAAACGACCCCACAGCTGCAATTAATATCATTTTTGACACTCCAAGTTTCAAGAAACTCGAAATTGTAAATGTAGTTTCAAATTCAAGTAGTAAAAATACTGGTGAGATCCAAAAAATTGAGCCTAGTACAGTTTCTTCAAATGAGGGATTGAATATTAATAAGAGTAGAATTGAGAGTGAGTGTGATAGGGGGAGTGAGTGGTGGTATGTGGGGTGTGGTGAGGTAGGCGGTATGTCAACATGTAAAGGAAGGATATTGAAGGCTGGTGAGGAAGTTGAATTTACGTACCCTGTGGAGAAGAAGAATTTGAGTTCAGCTTCACCAGCTGGGAAGTTTGGACGAGGGCGTCAAGCGGCTGCTGCTTGTTCTGAAATTGTAAGGTTTTCTACCAAGGCTTGTGGAGAGGTACTCTTTTCTTCTTTTATGTTCTGAAATTTTAAGTTTGTTCTGCAACTTTATTGCATTTTTGTGGAATTGTTCTGAAATTTTAAGTTTCTTCTGCAACTTTTATTGCATTTTTGTGGAATTCCTCTAGCCCCCCCGGGCCCCAAAGAAAAAAGAAAAAAAAAGAAAGAAAACAAAGGAAGTTGCTCCCTTCAAGTTGAATTCTAGACCAATGTAAATCTAGGATAATGGTTGTGTCCTCAAGGGGAGGGCTAGTGGTTGAGGCGAGTGGCGGATGTAGAAGGCTTATGTAGCTCGGCAAATCCCACGAGACTTTAGGCTCGAAACATTTGTAGATGTTTGAAAAAGAAGTATAGATAGAGTTAGATAGGAGTAAAATTTAGCAGAGGAACGTGGTGGGATGTATGAGATCCCTCCGCCCTTGACCGACAGTCTCAGGTTCAAGCTGTGGGAGTGGAGAAATTCTTTCGTGGCGCAAATCTGGATTAGTTGGGTCAGTGGGTGCCGGATACTAGATGGTTATACAAAATCAAGATATATATTTTAGAACTCACCGCTTCTAAATCATTGGGGCATGTGAGTGACAACTTAGGGATCCCCATGTTCAGATCCAAGCTACAGCACTTGTTGTGAACCCATCTATTACCTTGGCAGCTTGTGCTCTTGGGCTGGACAAGCTGCCCGGTGGATTAGTTAAGATGTGAGCAAGTTGGTCCGAAGAAAACCCATATTTGAAAAAGAAGAAGTTAAAAGCTGTGGGTGCACCACTTTAATATAAGTGCCTTTTTTTTCAAGTCTTAATTTTTCTGTATACAAAAATATAGTTTGAGCTCAGGGCAGTGGATGCACCTGCTTCTGCTTTAGAATGTGGATGTCTGAATATAGAGTGAAATCATCGGAAGAAAGAATTTGTTGACAATTTGTTTTTTCTGGGTGTGATTGGGGAATGCTAGATCTTTCTTGATGGAATTCTGTATAATAAGCCTGATTTTTTTGTTGTTTGTTGTGGAGTGACAGATTGGGCGTATTCCAAATGAATGGGCTCGATGTATTCTGCCGTTGGTGAGGGATAAGAAGATTAGAATTGAAGGGTGTTGCAAATCGGCTCCTAATATATTGGCGATTATGGACTCTGTTCTTTTGTCCATCAGGTACTCTGGGCGATGTTTTAGTGTTATAGTTTAATATTTGAGGTGAGGAATCCAGTTTCATGAGATACGATACAGACGGTGGTGATTTGATCAACTTTATCTTGTATGCAGAGTGTATATTAATAGCTCCATGTTCCGTAAAAGCAATCAGACATCACTAAAGGCTAGATCTGCAGATGATACAGTTGTTCACCCCCTTCCAACTTTGTTCCATTTGCTCGGACTTACTCCTTTTAAGAAGGTGATACTCTCTTTTTGGTTTTGTATGTTGTAGGGAGTGGTTGAGGTTTTCTGACCATAGCTATTATGGATTATAACCTTCTTTCTACAACTTGTTTATCAGTTGGGATCTGATATTCTGCCTAGTTATGAATTCATCTCATCGATGATCGAAGGACATTAATTCAATAAATTCTTTCTTAATCATTATTAGGCAGAATTCACTCCAGCTGATTTATACACGAGGAAGCGGCCTTTGAGCGAACAGGTAAGACAAGAAGAGATTTCCCGCTCGTTTTTCCCTCTATTCTCAGTTCTCACTCCTACTTCACCCTCTTAAAGTCAGAGTATCAAGATGTTACAGTTTCTCTTAGTTTTCGCTGCTTCACCCTCTTAAATGCTTCATTTTTCTTCACAGGACAGCTCTAGTGGTCGTGCCTCAGTATTGCACGCGAACTTATCCAAAAGCTCTTCATCTGCAGATGGAGATAAAGTTGAGAATGATGAGACAATTTCTGATACTGATCTTGATTATATTGTTGGTTCAGCTGATAACTCGGAGATACAGGTATGGCCAGCTCAAAAATCTTTGTTTTGTCTAGGGAGTTCTCTATGTGTACTAAATACTTTTACATTCACATTTTAGGAAATGGAACCACCAAGTACACTCCAGTGCGATCTGCGACCCTATCAGAAGCAGGCGCTTCATTGGATGACACAACTGGAGAGGGGAAGAAGCACGGATGAAGCAGCAACAACTCTGCATCCATGTTGGGATGCTTACCGTCTGAAAGACGAGTATGTGAATCTTGACATACATGTTTTTTTTCTCCACTTACTCTCGCATTCAGTACACTAAAATTTATTTCAGGAGGGAGCTTGTTGTTTACTTGAATGCATTTTCGGGTGATGCGACCACTGAATTCCCGAGTACCCTTGAAATGGCTAGAGGAGGAGTATGTTGCCGTTCTGCTTCTTTTACTCTTTGGGACATTTTGTTTCTTTGTGGTAGGTTTTATGCAATTTTCCATTTTATGACTTGAGAGTGTCTTGAAGATTTTGGCAGATTCAATGGGGTTAGGGAAGACTATAATGACTATAGCTCTCCTCCTCAGTCATTCTGAAAGAGGTGGATCATCAGGGAGCCAACCTACAAGCCAGCTGTCCGGTGAAAATGGTGAAGCTAGTAATATTTTAGGTCAATCTCCAACTTTTGCAAAGAAATCAGCAAAATTCTCTAGTCTTGATAAGCTCCTGAAACATAAGCCCACACTTATCTCTGGTGGCAATCTGATAATATGTCCAATGACACTACTAGGTCAATGGAAGGTACTTCAAATCTTCTTCAGCTGGCAACATTAGTTTTGCTATGTTTTTTAGGAACTAAAATGGCACATTAGGCATATTAAGCTTTACATATAAAAAATTGTCAAAACCTAAAAGGAAAAGATAAAGGATTTACATATGAATATCTGAAGATGAATCCGTCATTTGTAGGCAGAGATTGAAGCCCATGCACAACCTGGTGCTCTATCTCTTTATGTTTACTATGGGCAGACAAGATCAAAGGATACAAAAGTGCTTGCTCGAAGTGATGTCGTGCTGACAACATATGGAGTTTTGGCCTCCGAATTTTCTACAGAGGTATTATTTTGATTCTTCAAATTATAGTTTTAGACTTTTAGTTTCTGCGTCCACCTTGTTTGCCTATCATTACTTCTCTGTGCTAACTTGGTCTAGGTCCTCTTATATTCATTTTTGTGTTCTGTACTTGGTGTAGAATGCTGAGGACAGTGGGGGGCTTTACTCTATTAGATGGTTTAGAGTGGTGCTTGATGAGGCACATACTATCAAATCTTCTAAAAGCCAAATTTCCAATGCTGCTGCTGCTCTTATTGCTGACCGTCGGTGGTGTCTTACTGGTACCCCTATCCAGGTCAGTGTTACAGTAGGGAAAATTGTTAAGAAAAGATTATTAGCATTATTTAGAGGTTAAAGTTTCTATTTTCCTACAACGTAAAAAATACTGCTTTTGCTATTAAGGACATGTATGATGAAGCTAAGACTCGGTTTGGGGCAGCGGGAGGAGACTCAGAACACTTTCCGGTTATAATGGGGTTGCACTAGGGATCAACTTTTAGTCCATTCCTATTTTCCTTGGCGATAGACGCATTGATGAGATACATTCAAGGTGAGGTGCCATGGTGTATGTTATTTGCTGATGCCATAATTTTAATTGACGAGACGGGGGTGGTGTTAACGAGAGGCTGGAGGTTTGGAGGCAGACCCTAGAGTCTAAGGATTTCAAATTGAGCAGGACCAAGACGGAATACATGAAGTGCAAGTTCAGCAACGGTACCCAGGAAGAGGATATGGAGGTGAGGCTTGATACGCAAGTCATCCCCAATAGAGGTAGTTTCAAGTATCTTGGATCTATAATACAAGGTAACGGGGAGATTGATGATGTCGGAGCAGGATGGATGATGTGGAGGCTCGCTTCCGGTGTCTTGTGTGATAAGAATGTGCCGCTGAGACTTAAAGGTAAGTTCTACAAGGTTGTAGTTAGACCGACTATGTTGTATGGAGCAGAGTGTTGGCCGGTCAAGAACTCTCATACCCAGAAGCTAAAAGTAGCTGAAATGAGGATGTTGAGGTGGATGTGTGGGCATACCCGGTTGGATAAGATTAGGAATGAAGTTATTCGGGAAAAGGTGGGAGTGACCCATGTGGAGGATAAGATGTGGGAGGCGAAGTTGAGATGGGTCGGGCATGTTAAGAGGAGAAGTATAGAAGCCCCAGTTAGAAGATGCAAGCAGTGTGGGCAGTAGAAGGGGTAGAGGTAGGCCTAAGAAGTCTTGGGGAGAGGTTATTAGGCGGACATGGCGCAGCTGGAGCTGACTGAGGACATGACCCTAGACAGGAGGGTGTGGAGGTCAAAGATGAAGGTTCGTAGGTAGACAAAAGTTTCTCCTTGTCTTACTCAGTTCGCTAGCAATAGTGTAGTATGATATCTTTTATTCATAGACGGCTATTACTACCTAGAGTTTGATTGCATTCTTGGATTCGATCTTATTTCATCTTGTTGTTATTCCTACTTGTTGCAATTACCTTTTCTTTTTCAGCCGTTCTCTAGCCGAGGGTCTATCGAAAACAACCTCTCTGCCCTTCCCTGGTTAGGGGTAAGGCTGCGTACATCTTACCCTCCCCAGACCCCACTCGTGGGAAACTACTGGGTTGGTTGTTGTTGTTGTTGCTATTTTCATAGTTCTTCTCAGAGAGGTAAAAAGATATATTATTGTTTAGAACTCATAAAAGTGGTATATATTATTAAGATTTTTGTCCTTCTCTTTATTGCTAGATTGGTCGCGTGTCTTATTCTAATGACTTTGTAAGTTTCAAGCATGCCTTGACCCCTGAGTATTTATCTTATGTGTTTCAAAGCTGAGCTCCAGTTTCCTAGTATCTTGCCATTGTTTCTGGCTATTGCTATTGCTTTTTCCATCTATTTTTCTGGTCTTAGGTTGCTGGTACTGTCTTTCTATCTTTCTGACCTTTGTTGTTGTTACTGTTCTATTGTTTCTTTTCATCTTCTTGAGCCGAGGGTCTATCGAAAATAACTTCTCTACCCCCAGGGTACGTTTAAGGTCTGCGTACACACTACCCTCCCCAAACCCCACTTGTGGGATTATATTGGGTTGTTGTTGTGTTTCAAAGCCGAATCAGTTGTTTAAACTTAAATTGTTCCAACTGATTGTAAGTGCTAGTTTTTCTCTGCATAGGTTCAGATACAAGTTCATGCCACCCTTCTTTCCCTACGTTGCAAAAGAGAAGAAAATAGATATTTTCTTATTGGAAAAGCTGGTATTTTCCGGTGCTTGTCTTTTATCAGCTGATCTGGACATTCATATATTTTATCCAATATGCAGTCATAGTCTCTCAGTAGATCCTTTTTGGCTGGCCCTGAGCACTGTCGTTGAATCTCAATGCTACTAATGCTGCAGTTTTGGTTTATATTTAGTCTTAGTGAATTGTCTTATCAAAGACTCCACAAAGCTAAATACCTAGTGAAGTACTTCTATTGACTAGAACAAAGGAGGTAAAGGATTTGAGAGGCTGCTGCAGTTTCGTTAAAAAGCTCCTCCAAATCCAAGGACGAATTCTTAAGAGTTATATTAGGTAATCAGACCCTCAAGCAAGCTTCATCATACATGAAATTAAGATACCTTTACTCGGTTAAGTGTATCATTAGCTGATCATTACTGTTAGATAGTTATGTGTAAATAGTCCTAGTCTTATATATAGTAGAAGTAGAATATGTCCTAGTCCCATATATAGTAGGAGTAGAATATGTCTTAGTCCCATATGTAGTAGCAGTAGAATATATATTATATATAGGGTTCATTGTATCATTTTTAAGAAAATAGATTTTTTTCCCGTGCATTCTCACATGGTATCAGAGCTTTAGTGAGAAAATTATCGTTGTGCGTCATTCCAGCGACATCCGTGAAGAAAGATCTTATCGCCGTGCAATTTTCCGGCAACTTCATCTTGTTTCCGGGATTCATCACTGCTATAGTGGTACTGTGCATATACCAGTACCACCATCAGATCCGAAACTCTTGTGCGACCAAACCCCAAAAATTCCAGTCCCATCGGAATAGAAAAGTCGGTCACCGTGCGTCTTTCCGGTTGATGCCTCAAGACTGATTTGTGCTATGTTGCGCAGACTCTCCAAAATGTAGCCACACCCGTGTCAGATCCTTCAAAAATGCACTACTTTTGGAGGATCCGACACGTATCCGGCCATATTTTCGGAGAGTCCGAGTAACATAGGATTTGCGTTATCTTCTCGTCGGTAAGTGTTGTGCGAAAACCAACACTACCATCTTGTTCGGAAAAGTCACGCGACAAAATCCCAATCAATCGCTCTGGCAAAAAGTCCCTCACGCGCCGCCAGAACTAGGGTTCCAGCGAGCTACAATAACTTTTTGACGCGTGTGAGCCATTCCGGCTACTTTTTGGTAAAACTTCTTCAGGACAACTTACTCGTCCAGTGATTCCGAGCCTACTCATATAAATTACATCAAATTCTGACAACTTTTATTTTTTCCGGCGTGAACAGTACACTTTTCCGGCGCGAACAGTAGTTTCCAGAAAAAGTTTATGTTTTCTGGTGGTGTTTTAGAATCTATTTTGTATTGTGGAATTCGGCTTAGTCTCACTATTTTCAAATTTCTCCGGCGACTTTTCGGCCAACTTCTGTTTATCAGCAACCACCTGATTTTGTTGCTCAAGGGGAGTCTAGTGGCCTGGTCCTCGTATTAGTTACATATGTAACAAGCTAGGTACATATGATTTGTATGCACCGGCTTGAGGGGGAGTATTAGATAGTTATGTGTAAATAGTTCTAGTCCTATATGTAGTAGGAGTAGAATATGTCCCAGTCCCATATGTAGGAGTAGAATATATCCCAGTCCCATATGTAGTAGGAGTAGAATATGTCCTAGTCCCATATGTAGTAGGAGTAGAATATATTTTATATATATGGCTCATTGTATCATTGTTAAAAAAATAGATTTTTCTCCCGTGCTTTCTCACAATTACTAATACACTTAGAGGATACTACTAACCCGATTAGGTAACCATGATGCTAGTTTCTTCAAATTTGGTTTGAACATTTTTTTGGACATTTCTTTTTGAAGTCTAGCATTTGTTGCCATCTTATAGTGGTTTGCCATTGCTCTTATGCTTTTTCAAGAGAAGTTTGCTATTGATAGGCACCTAATTTTGTTATGTGACTTACTATTTTCCCGTGGCAGAACAATCTGGAGGATATTTACAGTCTTCTTAGATTTTTGAGGGTTGAACCATGGGGAAGCTGGGCATGGTAAGATATGGATTCCTTGCATTGACATTTAACCTTCAAACTTATTTGTCGTCGTGAAAACGTATCAGAAACTGTGGTGTGGTGCTGGTAATATTGAATATGTTATTATGCTCTTTAGAATGTTATGACTGGATGCTATTTGTGGAGGACATGCTTTGTTGTAAAATTCTCTACCTTTTTACACCTTGTATGCAAGGTTTCTCCATCACTCAAATGAAATTTTAACCTAATAAAAAATGTTATACACGGGAGACTGTAGAGAGTGTAGCATATATCTTTTACTGTGACTTTGCCCCAATTTGTCAAATGATCTACGACAGCTTGATTTATTCATTCATATGGTCTTGTTATCCTATTAAGATTTGTAAATGACTATTAAATAACCCTGTTTTTACTTCATCAAAATAAATAAATAAATAAATTAAATAACCCTGTTTTGAAGCAGCTATTCATTGATATGATCTTCTACTAAAACCTCACTAATCTTTCTGGCATCAGTCTAGATCCTTACCATTTTAGATTGAGGAGATTGATCCTTAACAGCACTTGCTGCTACAAGTGCTGTTCCTTTTTGTATCTGGTGAAATATGAAGCTAAGTTCTGTGTGAGAAAGTTATTTGCATAATTGATTGAATTTTCTCATGTTACTGTGATGCCATTCAACATGTTGTCTGCTCGGTCGTATTAAGGTGGAACAAGCTTGTTCAGAAACCTTTTGAGGAGGGAGATGAGAGGGGGCTAAAGTTGGTTCAACAAATTTTAAGATCGATCATGTTGAGAAGAACAAAGTCTAGTACAGACAGGGAAGGCAGGTGAGTATTCCACATAGGATTCACTAATCTTATTTCTTTGGTGTCTTCTTTTGTTTGGTTTCGTTTGTTATGGTTACTTTTAGGTTTATTGAAATGTTATACTGCTTCTGGTGTTATTGGGTTGCAGACCAATTTTAGTTCTACCACCAGCAGATATTCAAGTGACATATTGTGAACTAACAGAAGTAGAGCGCGACTTCTATGATGCATTGTATAAAAGATCCAAGGTTTTACCATCATCACTCTGTCCATGAAATTCTCGATACTTTTTGCACCTTTATTTCCTTTACCATAGTCCTATATCTCCAATATCAGGTGAAGTTTGATCAGTTTGTTGAGCAAGGACGAGTTCTCCACAACTATGCTTCTATATTGGAGTTGCTTTTGCGACTTCGTCAATGTTGTGACCACCCGTTTCTTGTAATGAGGTGTGTACTTTTATCCGTGCACCTATTTATCCTTTGAGTTTAATGTTGTGTGGTTTGTTCTTGTCTAAATGAACTTATACTCCAGAAAAAATATTGCGCGACTTTCCAACAGACGCTTAGTTATTCCTTACATTGATGAGTTGGAGAGACTTTGGTTTGGTTTCTAATTTTATTTTGAATGTACATGATTCTCATTACTCCTCTGACCCAAATTGATATTCCTGTTTCTCATATTGTCAACTTGACCAATTACTGCAATTCACTTAGACTGATTAATTCAAATTATGAATACTACACATAGATATGTAGTAACTATGTATAATACTAGTACTAAATTGCATATCTTAGTCAAGGAACATTTCTAAGACTGGGAGCGCGAGATAGGATATGGAGAAAAAGCAGTGTTTGCTTAAATAGATTTTTATTAACTTACAATCTGTGTGCCAACTCTTGGACTAAGTGGAAGCGCTTCTTTTTGCGTATTTGTTGAAAGAAAAGCAAGGTGTATCTTTCGAAAACTTTGCAAATGTGGATCCAAGATTATTCTACGAAGTAAATACAGTGTCCAGAAAGCTTATTGACTCCATTTTTTCTAGAAAGTGATCATTGTTTGTCTTATAAATGCTATTCAGATTGTTTATTCTTTCTTTCCAGTAGTCTGTTATCATCAGGCATCATACCTGACTTATATTATCAATAGTAGGTCTTATTGTTTTTGTATTTGCTCTTTTGGACTGATTACCCACCTTGCTTCTCTGTGTCTGGACTCTGGAGTATCTAACAGCTAATAGTTACTAAATATTATCTTTTAAGTAATATTTGCTGATGGGGTTTATTCTTGGCCAGTCGAGGTGATACCCAAGAATTCTCTGATCTAAATAAGCTTGCTAAACGTTTCCTTAAGGGTGGTAAGGAGACTGGAGAAGGCAAAGATGTTCCTTCACGTGCTTATATTCAGGAGGTTGTGGAAGAGTTGCGGAAGGGAGAACAGGGAGAATGTCCTATTTGTCTTGAAGCTTTTGAAGATGCAGTCTTGACTCCATGTGCTCATAGGTTATGTCGAGAGTGTCTCTTGGCAAGCTGGCGAAGTTCTACCTCGGGCCTTTGTCCTGTTTGTAGGTACTTTCCTACAGGTGTTTATTGAAGAACGTGACTCTATGCAGTGAGATCAACTGCATGTTTTTTATATGAATATTCCACTTTTGCAGAAACACTGTCAGTAAGCAGGAGCTTATAACAGCCCCGACAGATAGCCGCTTTCAGATTGATGTTGAGAAGAATTGGGTGGAGTCATCAAAAGTATCAGCCTTGTTGGGTGAACTAGAACGTCTTCGTTCCATTGGCTCCAAAAGCATTGTTTTTAGTCAGTGGACTGCCTTCTTAGATCTATTGCAGATTCCTCTTTCTCGGTACACCCCGTTTTTGTTCATGTTAGATTCTGAAGAACTAATAAGTTTTTGAGCACTCTATTCTGCAACTTCTTTGTCTTTTAAGGTAACTGTACACGAAGAAGCTCAATGAACATCGTGATATTTCCATTTATGGCAAATTTACTTGTAGTAGTCTTGGTATGCATGCTCATAAGGATAAGGAAACTGAGAAAGATTTCTGGTTTGTGCAAATGGATTGACCCTTGTCTCTATCTGGACGATAATTCTTTTCCTCCCGTTAGTTGAGTCCTGTTAAACATTTGAAGTTATTGATTTTGTCAATTGCCTTTTGCAATAGCCTTGTCCATATTTTGTGTACTTTATTTTTGAGTTAATATATTTATTGACCTCCATACTTATGCAGTAGTAATATTCCATTTGTACGCCTTGATGGGACGTTAAACCAGCAACAACGTGAGAAAGTAATAAAGAAGTTCTCAGAAGAGGATGGCATATTGGTTTGTCGTGGCTGCTGCCTCTTTATCTTATACATTTATTTTTAAATTATTATGTTTCCTTAATCCAATTTAATATTATACAGGTGTTGCTGATGTCATTGAAGGCTGGTGGTGTTGGGATAAACCTGACGGCTGCATCTAATGCTTTTGTCATGGTACTTGTCTGCCTTTAGAAAAAATTTAGATGATCACAGACTAATGAACTCTCTGAATTTAATTGTTTGTGTTGTCAAAAGTGGGTTTGCTCTTAGAAGAAGACAATATTTCCTTTTTGATTACACACAATCGCATTAATAGTTTGATCCAAGTATTGCATAGAGCGAGAGAAATGTTTATATAATTATATGTAATATTGAAGTAAATCATTTGACCTTCTTCCTTTTCTTTCTTTCTTTTTTTTGGTTCTTTCTTCCTCTCCTCAATATGCATTAATCTGGTAAAACTTAAAAACCTAATTTGATGGAAGTGTTCTGGGAGGTAAAATTTCCCAACAATTGTTGCAGATAGTCTGCAAGACGCTTCTTTTGATAAGTATGGTCTGCAAGATGTGTCTTATGAGATCTATTAGTGTTATGATGATAGTTGTGGTCATTCTTTTCTGAATTGTAGTCTTTGATAAAGCTTATCTACTTAAGCTATGACCTTTCGAAAAATTATCCTTTTCTTCCTCTTTGTTTCAGTGATAACAGAATCTATCTTGATGGGAATATCTGAAATTTATTTGCTCATAAGTAGCAGTGGTGTACGTGGTCGTAACTTGGCTTCAAGTTCTTTTTTATAGGCTTATGGTGACTTATCTAATGCAAATTTTGATTTATTATCTGCATGTTGTTAGTCGTCACTTTTTAACTGGTTAAGCTTGTGATCTTGGTTGATGAGATTTTTGTGGTTCAATGATCCATCGGTTCTCATATTTGCTCTTCTCGTGACTTTGACTTGGTGATGTCTTTTTTTTTTTGAATCACTTTGATCGCCCCCATATTATGTACTATCTGACATGTACTTTTCTGTGACTCTATTGTTGTCAAATATACACAATATTCATCTTTGCATGCTTATCTCTAGGATCCGTGGTGGAATCCAGCTGTTGAGGAACAAGCGGTCATGCGTGTTCATCGTATTGGACAAACTCAGCAAGTAATGATTAAACGATTCATTGTGAAGGTAGTGCTCAACACTTTTCTCCTTATTACGGCCCGTTAATCAGTTTCCATGGAACAATATCGCCCTCTCTGGGAAGTGCTGGTGCTTGTTCCTTGTTCCTTGACGCTTACCTGAATATCTATATGCTCTATCGCACCTTGAGTGCACATCATGTTGAAAATGTCATTGGACCCTTGCATACATATTTTTCTGATGGCAGGGTTCAGTTGAGGAAAGAATGGAAGCAGTACAAGCTAGGAAGCAACGGATGATTTCTGGTGCTTTGACGGACCAAGAAGTTCGGACTGCAAGAATTGAGGAACTTAAGATGCTTTTTGCATAGACAATACAGAACTAAATCATGCCAATGAGTTGGGGCCTCTGGCTCCTCAGATTGTAGATTCACGATCACCATATTAGATGGTATATGTGTCTGGAAAAGAGCTGAAAGCTTCTCTTCATTCTAGCCGGTGGTCTCCATGTCTCATGCTGCAGGCACACCGGATTATTTTGTAGGCCTCGACAATCTCAAGCGTTGAAAAGTGATCATTCGATCTCAAGTGTTGAAAAGTGATCATTCCATTGAAAAAAGCACTTCTCAAAATAAGCTAATTTTAGAAGCTTGGCTAAACAGGCTATAAGTTTTCGTTGAAGCAGTTTCCAGAAGCGCAAATGTAACTAGCATCTGGGGGATGTGCATTTGTACTTCACTGTTGTAAAACCAAATCCTGGTATCACGACTGTTATCAAGATCTGGGATCGGACTTCTAAAACAGTTTTTATAGAGTAAACAAATTTGTAAATATTATTTTTCGTTAATGTAGCTTCCAAGCTGTAGAGAGGAGAGTCATATGTAACTTTGTAGCTTTTGTTTCAGTTAACAAACCTTGTAAATTTTGACCATATTGAAGTTCTCCCTTAAGTTAACAAAAGCTTGTAGTTTATGAGTACTAAGTTCTCCAACCCATTAGTGCTTTACGGACCAATGACTTAAAATAGATAGTCAACTTAGCAAATTTTATTTTATTTGTTATGATAATAATATGCGTCAAACTTAAAGAAAGAAATGAGGATTCATTTAGGCGACTTCAACTTGTTTGGGACTGAAGGGTAGCTATTATTTGTTGTTGTTTGGCAACTTTGCTCCATCCTGGGCGTCAATAGTAACATTATTTCAAACTTGGAATAATCAGTTATGAATGTATTCCACATTTCAAATTTAGAATAATCAGATATCAATAGTATTATACATTCAATCACTAGATATGCTGAGTAGGTCTTTACCAAGATGGCTATATTTATTAAATAATCTGATAAGATTTGTATTTCTCAAGGTTGTTAAAAATGAAGATTTCATTTTAATTTATATGCTTAATAGGACATGACACAAATTTGTTAATATCTCCATTTAGAATCTCAGAATTAAATCATCAAAATTAATTATATTTCCTATTAATTGTTTCATTATCTTTTATTTTTTTAATTTCTAAATTAGATTACAATATGTAAAATTAGTCAAACATTCCTCCGATTTTTTCTTTATTTATCTTAATTGCCCTTTCAATTTAAAAAATAGGAACAATAAGGGGGAAAATTTAGGAAAAACCATTAGTGTAACCTGGAAATAAATGAATAATAATCCTATATAATTGTGCTTAAAGAAAGCTTTTCCTCCTCTTTACCACCAGGTTTTGACGGTTCATAAAGCTTTCAAGGTTTGCCTTTTCATCTCTTTCCACAGTTAAATTCTTCATTCCTCATTGATGTAAGTGTGTTGGTTTTGGTGCGTGTATTTGTGTTTTTTGTGAGCTACTTTGTTGGTAAATTTAAGATTTAAAGTTAGTGGATTCTGCTTTATATACGTGTGTTCCAATTTATAATTTTTTAATACGTATACATGTAAAGTTCGAGCTAGACAAAATGAATTTTGTCAAATTTACTGTGTCTAGTCAAGATTACCATGATAAGCACTCGAGATACTTTCTTTTGTATATGTGCTATTCATAAATACATATACGAATACTTACGTAAAGTTTGAGCTAGACAGGAATGAGATTCTGTCAAATTTACTGTGTCTAGTCAAGATTACCATGGTAAGCACTTGAGATACTTTCTTTTGTATATGTACTATTTATAAACACCAATTGTTTCCACATACAAATACATACGTAAAGTTTGAGCTAGACAGGAATGAGATTATGTCAAATTTACTGTGTCAAGTCAAGACTATCATGGTAAGCACTCGAGATACTTTTTTCTGTATATTTAGTATTCATAAACACCATTTTTCCCCACATACGAATACAAACGTAAAGTTTTGAGCTAGACAGGGAATGAGATTCTGTCAAATTTACTGTGTCTAATATAATCCAGATTCCCACTCGAGATACTTCTTTTGTATATGTATTATTCATAAACAATAATTTTTTTTCTCTCACACACACATACATTTAAAGCTTGAGCTAGATAAGATGGATTTTATCAAATTCATTGTGTCTAGTCTAGATTACCACAATAAGCATACCGAGATACTTTTTTTGTATATGTATTATTCATAAACAATAATTTTCTCTCTCGCACACACATACATTTAAAGCTCGAGCTAGATAAGATGGATTTTGTAAAATTTATTGTGTCTAGTTTAGATTGCCTCAGCATACCCGAGATACTTCTTTTGTAGAGGTATTATTCGTAACAATTTCTTTCCACGTATGCATACAATACATTTCGAGCTAGGCAACGATAGATTCTGTCAAATTCACTGTGTCTAGTCTAAATTCCCATAATAATTAAGCACTCGAGATACGTATAATTTATAAACAACTATTTTTTTCCACACATGCATACATGTAAAGTTCGAGCTAGACAAGATGGATTATGTCAAATTCATTGTATCTCGTCTAGGTTAGCACTCGAGATATATATACGTACTTTCTTTTGTATATGTATTATTCATAAACAAATAATCATTTTCTTGCTTTTGTATTTCACAGGTGTATTTCTAGACAATCTAAAAATACTCTACAATTATTAATGGAGGACATGAAGTACAATGGTTTTTCTGCTCAATCATTGGAATCGAATGAAGTGAAGCCCTTGACACAAATACCAATGGAAGAAGAATCTGTAATTGAAGACAGATTAATAAATAATAATGAAAAGGGAAAGGAAAATACTAAACCAGTGGATGGTCACACAAAGAGAGGGCCACCTAAGAAAGAAATTTTGGAGGAAAATGGAGGAGAATGTACTCCAAAGAGAGGTAGAGGAAGGCCTTTGGGTAGTGGTAATAGAATTAATCTACTACAAGTTTTAGCTTCTCAAGGTGAATTTTCTCTCTTTACAAATCTTGTGATAATTTTTTTATCCTATCCGATATAAGTTATGGGTTCGAGTCGTAGAAATGTAGCCACTAATATCTGCATTAGAGTTGATCGTCTATATCACACCCCTTAAGGTGCGGTCCTTCCCCGAACCCTACGTGAATGTAGGATGGTTTGTGCACCGAACTGCCTATTTAATTTTTTTAAGCATAAAAAATTATGGTGCGATAGATAGAATCTCTCCATCCTTAACTAGAGTGTCGGGTTTGAACCACGAGAATAGAAATAATCCTGACAGGGGAGCGCATCGAGCCTGGAAATAAGAAAATACCACTTCCTCAATTAAAACCCATACGCGTGAATAATGATTAGTTGAAGTGCAATCAGGGGCGGATCCACCTCCCCATCTACGGGTTCACGTGAACCCAATAGATTTTGTCCAAATAGTGTAATGTATTCGAAAAATTTACTAAATATCTATAAATGTTTGTATGTGAACCCAGTTACTATTAAAAATTTACTCGAGATCGTTGTAGGAACCCATAAAAATTAAATCCTAGATTCGCCTCTGAGTGCAATGCGAGTATTGAACTCCGGATGAGAGACAAAAATAAGATTTTTGATTACTTGGAAAGAAGTAATTTTGGAGAATTTTGGTTATCTTTTGCGTTAGTATTCGAGGATTAATGTTTAATAAATCTTTGTGTGAAAAAATGAGTATTTTATTATTGCATAATTTCAAAACCTTAAAGGAAACGACGTTGAACGGCATAAACTATAAGGAGGTATAAGTCTGATTATTTCAATTTCTTCTATTTTATTTTTGGCTTGAGTAGTTTCAACAAATTAAATGGGGTACAGCGTAAACAAATTATTTTACTAAATATTCTCCAACGACATGACCTATAAAAGAAAATGTTGATCGTTCACTTTTTTTATTTTTTGAAAAGTAATCATTCAATTGATTGTTAAAAATATATGTGATTATATGTTCAATGGTTATAAGAATATTAATATTGTTTGTTTTATTATTTTTTATTTTTTATTTTTGGTGAAGGCGGGATAGCAGCACTAACAATGGGGAGTGAGTTCACTCCTGCTGTTGTTATAGTCGAGCCAGGAGAAGTAAGATATACTATTTGATAATCAATACAACAATTTGCTTATGTTTTGATTGCTTAGAAATATAATCACTGAATTAATTAATTATTATTTTTTGCAGGATCTTGTTGAAAAAGTTTGGTCATTGAGTAAAATAAATGGTGAATCTGTGTGTATTTTTTCAGCCACGGGGACCATTTCAAAGGTTGATCTGGGTCATTCAATTGGTGGCATCCTCAAATGTGAGGCAAGTAGCTAGTTCTTAGTATATTTTTCTCAACAATTTCCTCCTCTTGTTTTTTTTGGGGTTTCCCATCTTCACAAATTTCTCCCTTTTTGTGTGTGTGATTTTCCATCGTGGCACCTATTCAAGGCCCCCAATTAATTCGGTTATACTCCGCGTAATACCTATTAAAAGAGGAAGCGCTTTCTATAAGAATTTTTTTCCGAATCGGAGACCTTTGTTAGGGGTAAAGGAATCATATCTGTCACATCACAACCTTGATGGTCGCACTTCCATTGCTTTAGTTAGGTGCATATCTATATGGAGGAGCATGATGCACGTGAACCTATACTCCTTTTCCTATACTATGTATAACAATGTTATACTTATTTAAAATTATTTTAATATACACGTGTGCACCCAAGCTCAAAGTGTCCTATGATGAAATGATTATTCGTTGCACCTTTACCATTGAAGTTAGGAGTTCAAATCTCATGGTTGTAGGCATGTCTAGTGCCGCCACTTGTGTTTTAATTAAGTGTTTTTCGTTTCCTTTATTTTTTTTATTTGATTTATCCATTCAAAATCCTAAATCTAACACATCAAAATTCTTGTTCTCCTTTTATTATCACAAAATTTTATATAATTAAACTAAATGTCCAAATTTTAACTAATAGCAGTGGAGAATGTAGCATATATTCAAAGGGGTTCAAAGATCCCAACATTTTTTTTTTATGTGGAGATAGGTATATATGTTCAAAATGATTAAAATTGCATGAACCTATAGTTTCTAAATGGTAATGGATTCATGGTAAGAAGTAAGAACCTATAGGTTGAACAAACCAAATATAAATTCTAGATTCATCTATTTGTAATAATGCACCCATCTCTTCTTGAAATCTTGGTTCCGCCTCTAATTTTTTTATTGCATAATATAACAATGTCATTTGCTTCCTAAGTGCAAGAAAATGTTGGGAAAACTTACTCGCACCCGAAATTTAAACTTTGACCTTTATACCAAATATTACTTACTTTTGCAGCATATGACAATAATATTTGCTCCATCCATATACTTGCAGGGGATCTATGAAATCTTGTATGTGAAAGGTTCACATGTAACTGTTGAAACATTGGGTGTTCGTCGCGAAGTTGCTCAGCTTAAAATGTCCATTGCAAATGCTGAAGGAATTGTCTATGGTGGTCTTGTTTGTGGTTCAGTAATTGCTGCTGGAAAAGTTCAAGTAAGTAGCTCTATTTTTTTTGGGGTCAAAAGGATATTATACTTATAATACTAAGTTAAGAT